ATGCAGTGAAATTAGAATTAAAATATAATGTTTTCAAGGCACTTATTCATAATCTATTCTAACTCTATCAATCTTTTTTCAGGTATGCAAAATACCCCGAGACCAACTCCAGTCTTAACGGATAAAATGTTTATGAGGTATTTTTATATGGGGCTGGTTTTCAATTGACCGTTACTCCTAAAACACGGCTGGGATACCCGCGGTTCAAGTTTGAATCGGGTTGCTGCGTGTTTAGCCACCGTAAGTCTAGCGAAGAGTGTGCACAGCAAGCACCGGTTGCGGTTATTAGAAGCCCAATGATGTCCTAGTCTTGGCTTTCCCGTTACCGAAACCTTACCCCTGGGCTCAGTCCCGGCCCCCTGTGCCCCGCTTGGGGCTCCCGCCCTCCCTGCGATTTCCCTGTTACTCTCATTGCAGGCGCCGCAGGAGGCAGCGGGACGGCTGAGAAAAGCAGCTCGGGACCAGGTGCCCTGCCCCCGCCGGCACCCGCCTCGACTTAACACCCCTCCCACCCCCCCGGTGCTGCCCACACGGCCGCACTGGGCCCAGCCCACTGCGAGAGAATGCAATAAAGTTTCTTAAACTCCCACGAGGCCTCCTGGCCTGGCTCCTTGCCGGCGGGGCCCCGACAGTTCGGTGCTGGAACCCAGGATGCACAGCAGCCCGTAGGGACCCCCACCCCCGGCTGCGGGCTCCTCCCGACCACACCGGCCACTCCAGTTTCCGGTAAGAGCCACTTGACCTTCTGCTTTGCTGGCTTTGCCCCACGAACGCCCGCGGGCGCGGGGCTGGGGTTCACTTCCGGGCCCGGGCCTGACCCCCCTGTAAGTAGAGGAGGTGGCACCTTTGAATGCAAGCAGCTGGCAAGCCTGCTCCCCATCCCCGCCTTTATTCCAGCCTCCTTAAAGGTGTCAGGGTCATGTTACCCTTGTTACAGATGTATCAGGAAAATGCTTAGGTAATCATTGGCTTTAAAATCTCATAGAGCCCTGACCGGTGTGGCTCAGTGGATAGTGCGCAGGCCTGCGGACTGAAGGGTCCTGGGTTCGATTCCGGTCAGGGGCATGTACCTGGGTTGCGGGCACATCCCCAGTGGGGAGTGTGCGGGAGGCGGGTGATCAATGTTAGTGGATAGAGCGTCGGCCTGCGGACTGAAAGGTCCCGGGTTCGATTCCGGTTAAGGGCACGTGCTTGGGTTGCGGGCACATCCCCCGTGGGGGATGTGCAGGAGGCAGCTGGTCGATGTTTCTCTCTCATCGATGTTTTCGATGTTTCTGACTCTATCCTCCCTCTCTGTAAAAAATCAATAAAATATATTTTTTTAAAAAATCTCATAGAGTTGTTAAGACAGTAAGTGTAACTGAAAGAAGGATGTTTGGTAAAGTTCTTCAGTTCTTGACTCTCTGTAATCGTCCTTCGCTCTTGTCGTACTTACTCCACCCACCAGATCTTCCTCCTGCACTCAAAGCCCCCTTCCACCGGCCCTGGCCCTTTCCACCAACCCTGAGGCTTCTGGTCAGTCCTCCCCCGCCTGTCCGGCCCCTCCGGCCCTCCCTTCCCCTCTGACGCCCCCAGCCCCCCTCCCACTGCCCCTCCGTCTCTGGACTCCACCCCTTCATCCACCCCCTCAGCCATCTTATTGAGCCCCATCTCACTGGTTCCAGACAACCCAGCCTCCAGCCCTTTCCAGCATCTGCACTGCAGACCCTTCCTACTTGGACATGTCCCCACCACCTCTAGCCCTTTGTGGGGATTCTCTCCACCCTGACCTCTCTGGTCATCTCCTTGGGCACCATGCCAACACAGTGCTTCTACACCTCTCACTCCCTCCTTGATCCTCCACTGGAACCGGGAGACTGGATATGTACCCCCCCACCCCATACGGCCGGGGGACCCTAAAGGCCAGGTGGACCGGCCCACACCAGGTACTTCTGACCACACGAAGGTGGCCAAGTTACAGAGATGTCCTTCCTCACTCCACTCCTCCAGGTTGAAGTGAGCCCCTGCACCCCAGGCTCCACCAGTCCGTTTGTATTGAGTGTCAGCCTCAGACCAGCTCGCCTCAAGTTCACAAAAATTCCTAAGGAACTGTAAGTCCCGGACCTTTACCTAATCCCCTATAAGCCAGGCTCCCCCATTGCCCCTCACTGCTGTCTATACTCGTCCCTGCCTCACTGCACCTCATAGCAGCTGTTCCTCTCCCTCTCAGCATCCACTCCCCACCCCCACGGAATCGTGCCCCTTGTCTTTCCTGTGGGACACGTTCCTCCCAGAGAATTTCCTTGACTGTTCCTGGGAACAGATTACAACCCGGTTAAACCTGGCCCTTTGATTGATAAGATCTCCCCTCTTCTAGTGCCTGGTCTTCCTGCGGGTCATCCTTATCATTCTTTATCTTCTGATGTACCATTACCTTATGTCACGTGGTTGGAACTACGCTTAACACTGTTAGGGTTGTACAATGATCTCCCTAGTCCTTCTCCCCTTATTCTGTACACTGATTTACCCCATACCTCTAAAAAATCTCCTAAGTCGTCACTATCTCTCTCGAACCCTAGACCTAACACATCACCTCCTCATCAGAACCTGTTTTCCCCTCTTTCAGCTAGCTACACCGCAATCCCAGCCTCCCTACATACATGGGCCAACTCCAGTCTATCCATCCACTACAAGGTACATGGAGGACTCCCATTCCAATTCATGCACCTTGATGAAATTTATACTTCAAAATCACAGAAATGACTAAAGGAACACGCACAGGCAGGGCCGTACAGTTACTCCAGTCATACTTAAACAACATAACTGAGCACTCCTCCAACAAAGTCCCCATCTTAAGACCAGTAACAACCAACACCATCATAGTATCTCAGGCCCCTCTCTGCATCAACAGGACACACCTTGCAGGAAAGGTTTTAGGATATCTTGATCAACGCCTATGCTACTTTACTCTTGAAATTCAGCCCTCTTTCAAGCGTTGGGCAAGTTATATAGTTACCCAAACAGCCTACTTCTCAAAGCCTGTTCAATTCTCAGCCTGGCCTACCATCTCAGCAACCTTCCCAACAACTGACACTTCCCAGTTCTGTTCAGGTCGACCTCTTTCCTGCATTAACTACTTCCCCTGGCAGGATTGCAAATCACAATTACGTTCTAACTTCCGCCAAATCCCATCCCATGGCCTCACACACTCCAAATTTTGGGTAGACACTGACAGAAAATATATTTTTTTTGAGAATACCACCACAGGGGCTACACAGGTCAATCCTGAAGGCCTTTTTCAGCTCCTTACGGGGGCAACCTTAGCTGGAACTCTTTCTGTTTGGGAAAATGAAAACAACAAGCTCACTCACCTCTTCACCATTGAAAAAACCTTCTGCTTAAAAAATCAAGGAATCTTGTTACTGTGTGGTACCAGTACCTACCTCTGTCTCCCAGCCAACTGGACTGGGACCTGTACCCTAGTCTATCACCCCTGAGAGAGACATTGCCCCTAATAACCAGACCTTTAAACTTCTCACTGCTTACTCTGGGACCAGCAAGGACAAACTAGATGAGAGGGCCACAAAACTCTGACAGCTCTCAGAATCCTGGGGCACCTGGCCACAGAATCTAAATTGGACCTCTTGGCTTCTGCCTTTAGTTGGATCCCTCTTAATGTTCTTTCTGGCACGGATCTTTGGCTCATGCATCCTAAGAGCCATTTCTTCCTCCCTCCAAAACTACATCCAGGCTATCACTAAGATCCATAGGGGAAATAATGCTTCTCCAGCCCTACACTAAATATCATCCCCTCCCTCAGTCCCTAACTAGGTAGGAACAGCTCTATGCCCCACCTGAGCAGGAAGAAGCTACAGAAGAATGAGATCAACCTCCCTCGTCAGCCCCAGTTCACAGAAGGAAAATAAAAGGTAGCATGCTAGGCATATTCTGAATCATTCCCCTGCACTCAGTTCTTTTCCATTATACCCCACTTGCATCTCCTGCTCTCTGCGGTTTTCCTGTTATTATTTCAGGTGTCACAGAGAAAGGTGACCGGCTGAGAAAATCGGCTTTAGACCTGACTTCCTGCACCTGCATCTGGTTCCTGGGGACCTTCACAAGACACAAATATCCCACCCTCCCTACTCTTGCTTGCTGACAGGGATATACTGGTCTCAGCCCACTGTGAGAGAATGTAATAAAATTTCTTAAACTCTTAACAGGATCTCTTTGCCTGCCTCCTGTTGGTGCGGACTTAACACCACCCACTGCTCTTAACTCATGGCCTAGTCTAGAGTGAATTGAAGAGCCATGGTCTTTATGGAGTTCTCACAGTTACCTATCTATGCACCTCAATATGCAGACATTGGACAACCTTCTTTCACAGGCTCTTGAATTAGAAGGCTGTGCCTGTAAGGAATGCTATTTTTTATTTGGAGCCTTGCTTGTTTGCACATTTTAAAAAACCTACAGTAGATAGAAGGAAAATGAAGTCAAGGGGAACTTGTTTATGACTGGTCTTCAGTTCCAATCCCTAGCAAGAGTACAAAAAGAATTAACTCTAGCCCAAGACATGATGAAAAGAATTGGATGTTTATTTTCTGTTATTCCTGAGAAGATGAAATGGTACATATGTTACAAATGACTTTCATTATTATAAGTGAATTTAGCAGTTCCATACATAGCAAATGACCTGACTGAAAATCATTTCCATTCCCTTATTTAAACCCTTAGCACCTGGGACACAGCTCCATTCATTTTATGCCCTCGCCTACTCTAGTCTCCTAACTTAAATGATGGCATTCAGGCCTGCTTTGGGGTTCTGTGTTTTTCTCTTATCCTGAGAGTGAATTCATTTTCACTTTCTACTTGGCCCTTTATATCAAAATAAAAAATTGCTAAGTTTTCCTATGTAATAAATATTAAGGTCTTATGTAATAAAAGAAAGGCCTTATAAAACCACATTTCCAGCTACCACTCTTTCTCTACTTTTATAGCCAAATTTTTGAAGTTTTTAATTGCCTCCATTTATCCCAAATTCAATTTGATTATTCTTTTGGTTCTGCCTTGTTTATATCTCAAAATAATTTACTTATTTATATTCCTACTCTGGTCCAAGCCATGATCACCTCTCCTTTGACAATTTCCTATCCTTCCTACATTCACTTTTGCCCTCCAGTCTTCACACAGCAACTAAAATATTTTAAAAACTCAGATCTCATAATGTAAGTCCTTCCTTAAAAATCACAAAGTTTTTCTCCTGACTTAAAGTCCAGTTATCACCATTATGGTTTATATATGGTCCTATGGAATCTGACTCCTATTTTAATTGTCAAACTTACCCTGGCTTCCTTATGCCATAACCATAAGTTTGTTTTCATTGCTGTGAAGTTCCTGTGACTTTATCAACTTAACCACACTCTGCCTGAAACATTTCTCTAGGGTTCACCTTACTGCTGCTCTCATCTTTTAGGTTTCAGCTTCAATTCACTTTGTCAGAGAAATCTTTCCTGGTCCTCCCAAAGTAGGTTAAGTCTTCTAGATATATGCTCTCATTGGACCTTGTAATTTTTCTGTGGCTTTCATCATAGTCATTTACTTGACATTTATCTTCCTTGTTAGATATAGACCTCATAAGGATTTTTGTCCTGTTCATTGATTAATTCCCAGCACTCAGCTCCCTCCCTGGGGATTCTAGGCATTCATTCATTTACTGGATGGTTGAAAGAAAGGGCATATTAAGAATATAAAACATGATAAAACAAATGCTGTAGAGTGAGAACAGATCTTTTTATTCATATACTGAGATAAACTTCAGAGACTGAAAGAAAAAAATCAAATCATTCAGCAGAACATTAAAATTCATTCTTGAACAGAGTTCTCACAAAAAATTTAAGTCTGATATAACATTAAATATTTTACAAATCAGACATTTCATTTAAATCTAATCGTATAATCTTGAGTGCACTATAGACAAAGATTTCCTTGACCAGTTTCACTTCATTTAACTAATACAAGGCTTCCATTAAAATCCTACCACACCTTGAAAATTACCTGCAGCTTTTAAAGACACATGACTTAAATGGAAAGTCTTATGTAGCAATCCAGAAAAAAAAAAATAGGTAAGAAGCATTTCTTAATACAAATAAATTATAAAATATTTATGTGTGAGTTCCTTCTCATTGGCATAGTTATCCAACTAAAACTATTCATTTTGAAATTGGTGCTTAAAATACTCCAATGTCACTGAAAAATGCCTATCATTTTAGAAGTGCTCTTAAATGGCAACTCTCAGATGGGAAAGTCCCGATTCCTGTGCTGAAGTGAAGTAGACTTGTTCATATTCATGCCAGGCGTCATCTGTTATGCAGTTACTAGACAGCTTGGCAACCAGTAATCCCAATTTTCAGTAACATACTAAACTAAGACATTCCAAGAAACACTTCTTACCACCTGCATGTTTCCAGATTGCTAGATATAGAAGACAATTATATTTGAAGTATGGGCCTTACAACAGGAAACTTGAAAATATGAAAAATATTACACCAATGGAAGAATTCCCACCAATGAAATTCTGTGAACTGCTTTCAAAGAATATCCACGGCTAATGGAAGCTCTGCTCTGTGCAAACATAGTGTGGTATAAAATAATCACACATTTGAGGTATTAGCTGGAAAATATATACAACTATACATGGACACATCCACAGACTATTCACAAATCTATTGGCCTCCAAACCAGCAGATAATAAAATTAAATAACCACGTACCACAGGAAAAAGTTACAGGGAACTTACAAAAAAATGTGGTTACATAGTCCTTAATATAAGGAGTATGTTTTGAATTAATGTTTGAGGGAAAATGTCTCCATTTATATGAAAGTACCTATTTAAATAGTAATAAAACCAAAAAGGAAACCTGAATTCTAGGACTATTGCCTCCCAGATTATTAAAGAAATATGCAAGAATTCCTTGAAGATCCTCTTCTACCCACTTTTTCTTTGTAATTAAAAAAATACAATTAAAAGATTTTGGGAAGTTATTATCAGATGACTCCTCTTCACTGGTTTATAGAAATATTTATGGATTTTAACTAGGCAGTAATCCATTGTGGCCAAAAGACAAGCCTTTTTAGCTATTTAGTAAAGATTAAAATTCTGGTTCATTGTTCATTTTTGGAAGTTTTTCTATTCTGATAAGAAAAAAGATTATGAATGCCATTTTAGTTTGCTTCACTTAGTATAAAGACAGTTACATGGGGAGTAGTAAACCCAAGCTTCATATGGGGAAGGCTAAATAAACACACTAATTTTCCTTTTGAACCACTTAGTCCTCTGACTTATACTTACTGAACTGGAAAAAATGGCTAATTTGGTCCTCAGGCCAACATCAAAAAATATTTCACTGCCTTAGCACAAGTGGGAAATTTACTTTTAATGAATATGTAGGAATCCATTATTAGGTAATATTAACATGTCAAGTGTATTAAATAACAGCTGCACTTGAAAATAGTGGAGACCAACAAAGGAAATCAAGATGTTAATCATATTTCTTGGTAACTATTTTACATATTAGTGTAAATGAAGAGTTAACAGGAAGAAAACTTAAGCATAAAAGTGCAATTAAAGAAAAGGGCTGAAATTTTACATTCCTGTTCCTGTGAACACCTGAGCTGATACAAAGGCAGACTGGCTTAATGCCTTGGCATACATATGCCGTAAGGACCTTTTCTCTACCAAATCTTTGTAAATCTTAAGTAAGCATGTAATGATTATGAAACAACTACTTATTTAAGCATCCAAATGCAATCTGTTTCTAAAATTACTGTTCTCATTTATTAGATGGATTATACTTTGAAATTTCTCATTGTTGAGAATTATTTCATTAAAATAAATTCTGAAACGTACAAATGTCTAGCACCTGTCTAATTGAGAACTAAGGAATAAAAAAAAAAGTAGAAGAAAAGGTATTATTTACTTTCCCCCACATCCTCACAAGGATAATGTTTATATGTGTGTTGTAAAAGATAAAAATGTAAATCATTAATAAATATACTTGCTGCCAAACTTCTAAAATACCAGTAAGAAAAGCTAGTAAAGCAATACTTAAAGAGGGCTATTAGGCAATGATTAAAATGAACAGTACAAGTTTTCAAATGAAATTGCAAGGCTCATGTAGGTAAAACTAAGATGACAAAATGTTGGATTTTTAAAAGTAGCAAAAAATATGAAAATCTTACATCTTAACACATTGTGGACCAGTAGTTTTATTGCTAGCTTTACCCAGTGACCAAATAAGTTTCTATTGAACGAGTACAAAAAATGTTTTACATAAATGTTAAAGGCATGCTTTAAAATTAAATACCCATTGCATTCTGAAGTTATTTATTACATGTTCTTACAAGCTAACATCTTTTTAAAGTATGATACTTTGTAAAACATTGTGTAATATGAAGTGAGAATTCTCATGATCTGTCCGCAATGTGTTAAAATAGCTAACGTCTTCTTATTTTGTAGAATTAACCAAAAATTCTAACACTTGGCTGGGCCTTTACACCATGATACAGGTAACATTAAGGACTTAATCTTTATTTGCATATTTTATATGTAGCTTATGCTGTCAGGCACTCAGTCATTTCCCACGGTTCGAAAATTTTATCAAACACATTTCCCCGAACATTTTATGAAATATAATAGAATGTAGAAAAGAAACTGAAATGTAATACTGTCCAAAAGCCATGTATGACTTGTTAATATATTTCATTTATTTTTATAACTTTATCTGCCTCCTTAAAGCCAGGATTAAGGGAAAAAAGAATCAGGCAATAGAGTCTAGTCACATAAGCATCAACCACAATCGTGTAAATATCCCAGTGAAATGGAAAAATAGCCTCGCTGGTTTGGCTCAGTGGATAGAGCGTCGGCCTGCGGACTGAAGGGTCCCAGGTTTGATTCCAGTCAAGGGCATGTATCTTGGTTGCGGGCACATCCCCAGTAGGGGTTGTGCAAGAGGCAGCTGATTGATGTTTCTCTCTCATCGATTGTTTCTAACTCTCTATCCCTCTCCCTTCCTCTCTGTAAAAAATCAATAAAATATATTTAAATAAAGAAAAAAAGTGATCATTTTAAAAGTTAACAGATGCTATAAATTGACTACATTCAGAAAAAAAAATCTTTAAACAAAGGAATACTGCCACTTTAGTTAGCATTCTCTCACACACAAAAAAAATTACCAAAGATGTGTTCATGTTCCATTAACTGAGAATGAAGTAAAATTATTACTATGTTAAACATAGATTAGAAATCAACTAGTTTCATACCCAATATAGGTAATAAAACGTCAATTCCCATCTGATTTCTCAAATTTATATTATGGATTTAACTACAAGGAGCTTATTCCTAATGGATTAATTGAATTCTCAATGGTGAATAGATTTTAGCTCAGAATTTTATAAGGATAACTTGCTATAAATCATTATTCTATCTGCTGCTATATTTCTGCTCACTGTTGCATGTGGCCAAATAGATCATGCCCTGATCAAATAAGTGTGCTGTAATCTACTTATGTATTTAAGAGTTGGCAATCAGGTTAAAAGGCACAAAGCAAAGTAGTAGTTTTTCCTATTATTTATTTGTAGAAGAATCCATTTACTTTTGGATTCTGCTTAAATTATCACTAAGAAGAAACTGCAAATTTCCATGAGGGTAGAGGAAACATGTTGGTTCTCTTCATAAAGTTTAGCAGCTTTCAAAGACATATACAGAGGTGGGCAGAAGTAGGTTTATAGTTGTGAGTACACAAAAGTTTATTCTTATGTTATTATTCATTAATTACGTATTATTTATATTAAAACCATAAACCTACTTTTGCCCTCCCCTGTATATGAACATTGGGGGTATTTTAATAATTGGAATTGCAAATGACATAAATGCAATTTACTGTTGAAGACCCATTTTGTTTAATATCTATATAGCCATTTCCTCATATTTTCTTTAAAATCTATCAGTATAGCATTTCATTTCTATGGATGGCTTAGCAATTCATAAAACTAAATAAACAGCAAACTGATACTCAATACCAGTTCATTTATCTCAATATATATTTTGGAATATAATGGCAATATTAAAATAGCTAATAATGCTACAAGATTTTACACAAAATTAATTTAAACATCTTTTGTTTTTCCTTTTCTTTTTGAAAAAGTTTCACTGTTTAAACTCTACACATTCAACATCTGACAAGTAACATGTACCTTTGTCACAGAACATTTATTCCATCAATTTAAACTGAAGTGTCTCATGGAGCTAAACACAAAGAATTTAAATAAAAAGGCAATAACTTATATGTACACAAAATGATCATTTCATAAATATTCACATAACAAGGGGAAAAATGGAGAATCACTAAAACTGAAAGCTGCTACAGGTGTGATAATCCTTTCTTGAGACATTTTTGTGAGTCATCATAAAAGCTTTTAAAGTGAAAATAATTACAGAAGCATAACTAAAATATTGATTTTAGTTTTCAGTTTATTACTATTTAAAGGAGTCAGTAGGTCATCAACAGTCCAAAATTTCAGGGACCAACTATTCAGTTTAGTCTTTAACAACAAATCTTTTTCTTTAGCTCTCATGATGAAACTAAACTCACAGGAAAAATAAATAGTACGCTAGAAGATATACACAAAGCTCCAGTTCATCCTCCTTTATAAAGACTGGTCAGCCGCTCCAGTTCTTTGCAGTTGTCCATGCTCAAGGCGTCTGCCTTCCTTCGAAGTCGTTCATCACGATACACTTTTGCTGCATATTGCATATCTACTTCTGTTAATAAACAAAGATATTTTGCTAAGTAAATAATTTAAATCAAGTTGTTGTTTTTTTTTAACACAAATGATGTTTCATAGAAACCTTTCAATGTACTTCTGTTAATTGACTTTTTTTTTTTTTTTTTAAAGAAGTCCAAGTGCTACTCCTAAAAGCTATTTGGAAACCTAGCATGTAAAACACACACAGAACTGCTCTGGAAGAGAAACAAGGATGGAGTCCTATCAACCTTTTCCCTCCACTCCTGTTGCCAGTAGTTTAAGAACTACTGCTCTAAAGCAGCATCTTGAATCCATATGCTATTCTGCTACTGGTTGTTTTTGCTGTGACCTTTTATTAAGGTGTCACATTTATTATTTCCAAGACTTGGAAGTAGAAAATTTTGAAATCTGTTCTGAGTTTGCTTGAATTTAAAATTATATATATATATATACAATAACTGTACTGAAGGAACACAAAGGAGAAAAAAAGCTTCCTCTACAATCATCGTAGTGACATTCAGCAATAAGTACTTCTGAGGCTGCCTTCAGTATGTGGAATACATCACTAAAGAAAAATAAATGCAGTAGCTATCAAACATTCTTCAGAGTTTTCCTTGTTTTCCTGTTATTCTCAGCCATTTCACTGTTTGGTACAACTTCGAAAGGGTGGCAGTACTTAGAGAAGATGTAACAAAAAAAAAGGGGGACAACAGTGACCAAAGTAGAGGACATCAGCCAGGACCACAAACAGAATACTCAAAGTAAGAGTGTTTTCTATTTTTAAATATCTTCAGGAATGATCTTTATTCAATCATTCAGGCTTGAATTTAACAACTAATATATTTACAAATGAGGCACTTAGAAAATCCATTTGCAGCTGATTCTTTCCAAATGAAGTAATTAACTCAAAGTTCAGAGGGCTAGTGAGTGGCAGAACCTGGATTCCAATCCAAATCTCCCAATCCTAGTCTAATATTCTTTCCATTACCTCTATTTATTATATTTCATAAAACACCTATTTTACCAATTTAAGCATTAGAGAGTGTTAGAAGTGACTCCAAAACAGAATAACACTGAAAGAATATTCATTGGCCAAAAATCTCTTTGATTGTATTAAGTTACAAAAGAAGAAAATCTCATTTTACTTAACTAGTAAAACATTCAATTAATGGGTTAATTAATCTTATATCTTTACTTCCATCTTTACTCAAAATCACTAACATAGATAGATGTACTGAATTTATTGGATTTTATTTTGAAAATTTCAAACCTCACATTTTGTCAATTTTGCTTTTACTGTTTCTACAATAAAAACTTGTGATTGTTGTAGTTATTATTACTTTATAGAACCACTGAGAGTAAGTTACAGACATCATGACCTATCATTCCTAATTACTTTATCATATTTTTCTTAAGAACAATTGTACTCTCTCACATAACCATAATACAATTTTCAAATTCAGAAAGTTAATAATGATATCATACCACCTACAGTAGTACTCAACGTTCTGGCCCTTTAAATACAGTTCCTCATATTGTGACCCAACCATAAAATTATTTTCTTTGCTACTTCATAACTGTAATGTTGCTACTGTTATGAATCGTAATGTAAATATCTGATATGCAGGATGGCCTTAGGCGACCCCTGTGAAAGGGTCGTTCGACCATCAAAGGGGTCGCGACCCACAGGTTGAGAACCGCTGACCTAATATATAGTCCACATTCAATTTCAACAATTGTCCCAATGATGATATTATTCACTTATTCAACCAAATATTTATTGATGACAACAGTAACACAAATACCACTTAAGTCCTTGCTATATGCTGAATACTGTTACAGGCCACAGGTACGTTAAAACATACTGTCTCATTTAAGAATTGAGTTCTGATTATATACTAGGCAATTCTAGAACATTCTTTAAGGAAATCTGCAGTAATCACTTCCCAAGACTTTGAATAAGTTAAATGTTAAACGTTTGATCAACTTACTCTGTTGTCTTTCTTTCCAGCAATTATCTCGAATATTAGTCACATAATCTTCTTCCACACTCTTTTCTATCTTTTGTAATAACATTCCTTTATATTCATTTTTAAAGTCCTTGTTGACATAATAAACGACACCTAAGTTTTCTGTCTGCATTTTAATAGTTTGCCCTGATCCACTGTAAAAGAAATGCTTGATCATTATTTTTAATTAAAATTGTACATGCTGATCTGCTACTATAAACCAAGCTAACAAAAATAATTAAAAAGAATTAAAATTATTGGTAATCATTTATTTACATTTTCTCAAATTCACAACTACTACCATCATGTAATAAAAAAGTAATCATATTTTAATATACTATGTTCTCTCAATTTTTAGTTAATAAAAATTTTATTTGGAAGAAATATAAATTTATTTCTTGTTTTTAGACCAATGTTTTTAATACTGTAAAATCAGTGGCAGTAGGATTTTACAGAGCTTCCTATATGTTCATTGTATTACACTAAAGTTTTCTAGAATAGATGCTGCATTAATGGACCTCATATATCAAGCACATTATGAAAAAATATTTCAGATAACAAATATGTTTTTACTTAATATTTAACAAACAGAAGACTGAAATCATTTCCTCCTTAACACAAACCTATGTAAGATTATGACAATTCTATTTTTGTCTTTTAAAGTACTTTTGCCTTTAATGTCATTACTTATTACATTAAATTGCTACCAAGTTCAAATATAGCATTGTCCTTATCCACAATGGAACAGATGTAAACTAACAACATATATAAATTTATCACTTGAGTAACTATTTTAAACACTGGACATTTTAAAACCTGGTATACTTGTAGTAATAGAAGATTTGGCACTTAAAAATTTAAAGAAAATCACAAGGCCTTTTAATGAAAGCCAGATAAAAACAAAAATTATTTTTTACAAAACTTTACTTAGCTACTTACGATCTGGGATATAAGGAATAAGGAGGATTAGTGACCATCAGTTGGCTTAATAATGACACAAGAATCAATACAATAATGGGCATCAGCTGGATAAACACAGAAAAGCCTCCCTGTAAAAAATCATCAAAGAATAACAAATTATAATATAACTGTAGTTGTCAATAATCTAACAGTTGTCATAAATTTTTATAGGCATAAGGGCCATTTGAGATCATCTGGTTCAGTGCTTTCAAATCTGCCTGAACATAACTTTCTGAGGTGATTCTTAAAAACTTAGCTTTCCAGGTGCTTCACCTAAGGATCCTGATTTGGAAAACACTGAAACAACCTGATCTTACTTTACAGATGAGAACTTCTTTCTCTCACACCCACAGACTCTTATCAATAGGCAACAGGTTGCATTTCTACTCTGGATTTGAAGGTAGAGCATTGGAAGCTTGAATGGCAGAGTAGGGGCCCAGGCCTTTTAATTTCTAGTCTAGTGCTCTTTCCACTTCATGTGATTTAATTGTTGTATGCAATAAGGTATAACTGTTACATCCAATTTAAGTTTTTCAGTATAAATTCTAAATTCTTTAGGACTAACAATGAAAAGTAACCTTCAAGCCGTAGCTGGTTTGGCTCAGTGGATAGAGCGTTGGACTGCAGGACTGGAAGGTCCCAGGTTTGATTCTGGTTAAGGGCACATGCTTGGGTGCGGGCTCAATCCCCAGCAGGGGGCATGCAGGAGGGAGCCGATCAATGATTCTCTCTCATTATTGATGTTTCTCTCTCTCCCTCTTCCTTCCTCTCTGAAATCAAAAAAATATATTTTAAAAAAAGTAACCTTCAAAATATGCACACTGCAGGTTACCTTCATTAGAACCATAGAAAACCAAATTTAAAGGTTTCATATTGCCCAACCACCCTCCTGCTCCCCTAATACTCTAAGGAATATTCTTGTCTCTATTGAACAACTCTGGTAAGAGAAAACTCACTACTTCCTTTTAGAAAAACTTGCTCTATTTTCAGACAACTCTAATTGCTTTTCCTGAGCTGAAATTTGCCATTTTACAATTTCTACTCATAACATAAACATACATCGCCTCTTTCTTCTTCTCTTTCATGTCCACTATGCCGATGCTGATGTTGATGGCTATAACCAGCTCGCCCATTTGAAAATGAATGTACACTACCTAGAGAAAATTAAAAGCAAGGTTAAATTAGGGAGGACAATTATGATTTTAAAAAATTATATTTTCTTTTACAAAGAAAATACTTTTAGTTTTATTCACATTTTAATTTTTAAAAATTACTAAAATAATACATGTTTGAGCAGTGAATGCTTAATTGCCTTCTCCTTTTGTGAGTGAAGGGTGAAGGGAAACAGCGATGATTCTTCCCAGACTTTGCTTCCTTTCAAGTAAAGTAGAATTCTCTCTTTATGAAAACTTGAATATAAGTTCCTCCCTAATATGCATACACAGAGAACATTTTTTGTGGTTGGTTGCTTTTATGAACCTTGAGTCACTACTCTGAAACCCTGCATTCTGCATTTATCAACTAATCACAAATATATCTAAAAATCAAAAATTATTTTTTTAAAAATAGCTGTAGAATACTCTGGTAGAGGTAAGCCACAATTTATTCAAATATTCTCCTTCTGATGGACATTCAAGTTGTTTTCAAATAAGGTGACCAACCAGAAATGGCTACAACTGACAAAACAAGCTATGGTACAAAGGCAAAAGAACTGAAAATACTATCAGAAAATTCACTAGTACCTGAAAGATATCTAATTGTTCCTAGCATATTTTTAGTCAGAATTATTATTCTGAATATTTTTTTCTGAGATGTAATTATATATCCTAATGTTTAAGAATATAGGTTATATTTTTAGTCATTAATTTGTATTTACACATTCTGTCCTTCAAGGACTCTTTATAAGATATTCTATCTATGACTACCATCTTTCTCAGAAAAATTCAGACAGAGCCACCAGAACAAATGATATCGCTGTGTTTATAAAAGTTCTCCAAATCTTGAATGGGATGTTTAACTGAGAACCTTAAGGAAATGTAAAAAAGACTGGAGGTTTAATTATAAACACCTTAGAGAAGCTGCTCTTAAAGAAAATTAATTTCCGTACAACAACTCACAGTAAATATAAACTAGCATAATAATACTTATACTAGTATTATACAATCTATTCATTTAGTAGTACGCTATAATATTTTACTTTGATAGCCTAGTTCAAGTAATTATTTCTATTCCAATATAATTTTTAAAACCCACTCACTTTTTATATAATCTATAAATCAGACATTTTAATATTTCAATGGAAAGCACTTCCACATATATCAAAACTAGCAATCTATATCATTATTAATAAAATATATACAAAGCTTTCCAGAGAATCAATGTCAAATCGTCATCCATAACCATAATAGCACTTAACTAAGACATTATCACTGGATTTCCTACTTATATATATATATCCTTTCTTCAGCTTTATGTAAAATACAGAATATTGGTACTCTTCATTTCTTTATTTTTTTAATTAAAATATGTTCTAGGAAAAAGGCAGACTTATAGTAAAAGTAATGAGTATAACGTTTTTCTTCTACTTTCATAAAAAACCATCACAGAATGATAATGCTGTAAGAAATACAGAAAAGAAGGTAGCTAAATCATTAAATAGCCTATCTGGAAGTAAAAATCTCTAGCTTCATAAAATATAATACTTATAATTAACATTAAAATACCTGAAGGAAATCCACCACCAAAAAATATATTAAACAAGTCTTCTGGAGTTATATCAGCTTCACAACCTCTATGGAAATTAAATCTACCACTGTTTTGTGGATTACATGCTTGTTCTTCATTGCCTGTGAGGTCATACTGTTTTCGTTTTTCTGGATTGCTTAAAATAGCATAAGCATTTCCAATCTCTGAAAAAGTAATGAATAAGAGTTGGTAAGCAAAGTTTTTATATTACAAGACTGCCCCATATAAAAACTGTCATGTTAACAAACAATAACAAAAACTACTTGAGGCTAATCAACAAAATAGTAAAACAGTAAAACTTTCTTGTAAAGATACTATATTTGCTTGCAATTGCACATATTATTACCTCCCAGAACAATTTTTTATAGTAGACAGGCAAGTAGACTGCCTTAACTGTAAGGAAATGTCCATCTTACTTTCTTACTATTGGGCTTCATCCCCTAACATTCTGCTTCTTCATTTTTGAATATCCTGATCTAGTCATTCTTAGTGCCATTCAGACCAATAATAATAGTCAGTACTACTGCCAGGCTCCGAACCCCAAACCTTAATATATTATTCATTATGATGCCCACTGTACAGATGAGCCCCATAGGCTCAAGTATGTTAGGAAACTTGTTCAAGGTAAAAAAAACTTTTTAGCAAGTAAACTCTATGCAACCTACATCATAAATCTTTTTTTTTGCACACTCCAGCCCAGAATGAGTTATTTTTCATTCTATTTCTGAAAAATTTATTCCTCTTAAAACTGTAAACTTCATGAGGGAAGAAACTATGTCTATGTTTTCACTGCATTATCCCAATAGTTCACCATAAAGTCTAAATTTGTTTTTATTTAATATATTTTTATTGATTTCAGAGACAAAGGGAGAGAGAGAGATAGAAACATCAATGATGAGAAAGGATTATTGATTGGCTGCCTCCTGCGTGCCCCCAATTGGGGATTGAGCCACAATCTTGGGCATGTGCCCTGACTGGTTATCAAACCATGACCTCCTGGCTCAAAGGTTGACGCTCACCCACTGAGCCAGTGGCCGGACCTGAATTTGTTTTTAAATGAATCCAGATAGTCTCTAGTTTTCCCATCTCACTTCGTTACTTTCTTCATATTTATAAAGAATTCTGTCAGACTCCCGTATCCAAAACAGGCAATGGTATCAACGTAACCACTTCATAAGTTATATAAATGTCTAATGACTATGTTGTACACCTGAAACTAATGTAATATTGTATGTCAACTGTAATGAAAGAAAAATTTTAAAAATTAATTTTTAAAAAAGGCAATGTTACATAGGTTATGAAAATATCTTAAGGTAATTAACAAAAGCAGAAACTACCCTATTCTCATTCTGAAACTTCTAATCATTTCATAAATATAGTTTCCTTCTTAAACTAGATCTCATAAACCTCTTGCAATATGGGATATTTTAAAAATCCTTTCTGAGTCCCTTGTGGTGGCTGCTATAGGTACTGTGCAAGCAAACAGATGCTCATTAGGCAGTTGTCTTGGGCTGATCACCTATCACACTGAAATTAATGATACACAGATACTCTGGAACTTTTCTTCTGATAGGGCTTCTTAAACCTGGATTTCAAAGATATGTCTCTGATGGTATGTAAACTCTAATGTATGAAAAATTAGGTGGATGATCCATTTATTTGAAGAGGTGGTATAAAACTTTCTTCAGATTCTCAGGCAGATCTATGACTTAGAAATATAGCTATCATTTATAAAGTTGCTCCAATGTGGAAGCATAATCAGAGATCTACACAATGTACTAACAAACAACACCAAGGTTTTAACCTATACCTACAAAAAAAAATCTATCAATATCTGTCGAAGTTGTACTTCCCGTAATAATACCAGTTTTAGAATTTAACCTCTATTCACTGAATGGACTATTTCAAGTAATTTCATAATGCTATTACTTTTTAAACTACTAATATATTATCAACCCAATTCTATTTTTAAGGTTTTACTTTTTCAAAATTTCCAAACATTAAGGTATTTTGTGTTACTTGTGAAATACTTTCATAATCCATAAGTATATATGTAAAACAATTTATGTTATCTACTGTGACCAACTTTCTATTTATTTACTTTGTGGTACAGCATAACCAAAATTTCTTTCAGTTCCTTATTATCTAAAGATTAAATCCAAAATTTATTTTGGTATTCAAAGACAAGATACATTTCTGCCTCAGTCTCAGTAACTTCACAAAAAGATACCTTTCACTTTACTCATTTTTCTTTAAATTAGTTTTTTATTTTGAAATAACTTTGGAGTAACATGAAGTAGTAAGAAATAAATAATAGATATCCCTGCATCTGTTATTTAATTTCTCCCAAAGGTAATATCTTGTAAAATTACAGTACAGTATCACAGATAGGGTACTGACTAGATACAGTCAGAACAGAAGATATCCATCACCATCCTCATATTGCCATTTTACAACCACACCGACTTCCTGCCCCTCCATCCCTTTTTCACTTACTGACAACCACTAATCTATTCCTTACTTCTAAACTTTTGGCATTTCAAAAGTTTATTACATAAGTGAAATAATACAGTATATAAATGAAATAAAATCTTCTGGGATTTGCGTTTTTCAATCAGCATAATTCTTTTGAGATTCATCCAGGTTGCTATGGAAAACAATAGAGTTCATTGCTTCTTATTTCATAATATGAATATATCACTGTTTCACCACTCAACCACTGAACAGCATCCGAGTTGTTTCTAGTCTTGGATACAAGTTTGGGTATAAACATAAATTTTTATTTCTTTGTGATAAATGCCTTGGAATGCAGTTGCTGGGCGGCATCTGAATACTTAGTTTTTATGAGAAGTTGCCAAACTGTTTAACAGAGTGACTGTCATTTTACATTCCATCGACAATGTCTGAATGATCCAGTTTCTCTTCAGCCATACCAGTAGCTGGTCTCGTAACTATTTATCATGATATCATTACCGGTACATTTATTTAGGTGTGTAGTGGTATCTCATTTTGGTTTTACTGTGCATTATTTCTAATGGCTAATCAATGGATGTTAAGATTATTTTCATATGCTTATTTGCCATTTGTATATCATCTTCAGTGGAATGTCACTTCATATCTCTTACCGATTTTCTAACTAGATTATCTTTTTTTAAAAAATTTGAGTTCTTTATATATTCGAAATACTAGTCTTTATCAGATATGTGCTTGACAAATATTTTCTCCCTTCCTGTCGCTCATCTTCTCCTCCTCTTCATAGGGTCTTTGCAGAGCAAACTTTTAAAAAGTTTTGATGAAGTCCAACTAATCAATGTTTGGGTTTTTTGTTTTTTTTTTATAATCATTGCCTAGCCCAAGATCCTAAAGGTTTGTCCGCATGATTTTTTGCTAACAGTTCAAAAAATGGTGTTCTAAATTTATTCATTTTTAGTTTGTTCTTGGATAAAGCACAGATTTCAGTCAAGGTTAATTTATTTTTTTGTTTATAAACATTCAATTACTCTAAAAACCATTTACTGAAAAGACTATCTTTCCTCTATTAAATTGCTTTTGCACCTTTGTAAAATATGAATTGGGAATATTTGTATGGGTCTATATGTGGGTTCCCTAGATCTAAGTCTATCCCTCTATAAATATCACAGGTTTAATAACTGTAGCTATAAAGTAAGCATTGAAATCAGGCACACTGATTACTCTTATTCTATTCTTTTTATAAATCATTTTCTTGTATTCAGGTTCTTTGCTTTTCCACATGAGTTTTAGAATAAACTTACTTTTACTTACAAAATATCTTGCTAGAGGAAAAAAAAAAGTCTTGCTAGGATTCTAACAGAATTGTGTTAAATATGCATATCAATTTGGAGAGACTTGATACCTTTACTATGTTGATCTTCCAATCAATGAACATGATATCATTACATTTATTTATATCTCCTCTGATTTCTTTCACTAGTATTGCACAGCTTGGAGCATACAAATCCTATACAAGTTTTGTTAAACATCAGACTATATTCTTGCTGATTTTCTGTCTAGTTCTATCAATTGTTGAGTGAGAAGTGTTCAAATTTCCAACTACAATTGTGAATCTGTCTATTTCTTCTTCCAGTTATATTAGTTTTTAATTTACATATTTTGCATCTCTGTTCTTTGGTGCAAACACGTTTATATTGTTATGTCTTCTTGAAGGACTGACCCTTTTATCATAACATAATGCCCGTCTGGTAATTTTTTTTTTCAGTACCAAGTCTACTTAATATTAACATAGCCACTCCTGCTTTCTTTTGATTAATCTTTGCATGATGTATCTTTTCCCATCTCTTTACTTTCAGCCTGTTTAAACTGTCATAAATGAAGTGAGTTTCTTGTAGATAATATATAGTCAAATCATTATTTAACTTTCTATCAATCTAATTGATATATGTGGATAATTTACATTTAATGTAATTACTGAGTTAGGGCTTATGTCTGCATTTTATTTTTTGTGGTTTTCTTTTTTCTAAATTCCTGTGAGTTATTTGAACTTTTTATTAGAATTTCATTTTAATTTATCTAGTATTTTCTGAGTGTACTTCTGTACAGCTTTTTGGTGGCTGCTACTGGTATTACATTATATGTACATAACTTATCACAGCCCACTGCTGTCTTCGTTTTACTAGTTCAACTATACTGTGGAATCCTTAATTTTCTTTCCTTTCCTTTATCCTTCCTCATTTATAATATAATCGCTTTATATATTTTCTCAGCAAACATTTACAACTATCAGACAATGTTAAATATTTTTGCTTCAAATGTCAAACATAATAAAGCAATTCAAGAGAAGAAGCAAAGTATATTCCATTTACCCATATTTTTCTTACCATGTTCTTTGTTCTTTCTTGATATATTAAGATTCCTTCTTTTACTATTTCATTTTGTTTAGAGAACTCCCTTTAGCTATTCTTTTAAGGTATATCTGCTAATGACAAACTCTCTTATTTTTCCTTCATCTGAAAATGTCTTGGTTTCCCCTTCATTCCCGAAAGAATATTTTTGCTGGGTATACAATTGGGGGTTGACAGTATTTGAAAAATGTGCCATTTTCTCCTGGCCTGCATGATTTCTGATGTGAAAGTCACTGTCATTTGAATTACTTTTCCCCTATAAGTAAGATGTCATTTCTCTTTTG